TTTCTTTCTTTCTTTCTTTCTTTCTTTCTTTCTTTCTTTCTTTCTTTGTCTCTTACAGCTTTGGCAAGTACTTTCAGGATAATAGTAAGTAATGTGATGATAATTGGTCTTATTTGTTCTTAACTTTCATGGGATTTATTATTTTTAAAAATTTACCATTCAGCTTTTGATATGTGAGCATATTGTTTTAGTCATGTTTTAGTCATGTTAAGGAAACAATCTACTCTTTTCAAAAAATTTTTTATTGGATTACAAGTTAAATTTTATCAAGTGCCTTTTAAAAATATTGAAATGATCATTGTTACTTTCTTTTACCTATTAATAGAATAAAACATAATAGATTTTCTAATAATATGCCCATTGTTGTGTTCCTGGGAAATTTTCCACTTGCTCACAGTGGGTATTTCTTATAATAACGCTGAATAGTATAGAATTTCCTGTTATCTGAGTGTCATTGCTACCTGGAAAGGTGCACATAAAACGAATTCTTCAAAATGAGGAGTTTGTTAATATTTAAAAAGTTGGGAAGGGGTTTGAAAAACACAAGTAAAATTATGAAAATCTTTATTGAATGCATTTTGTTGTTTTGTCATAGGCACTAGTTTTTAGAGCAAAATAATTTTTTCAGATAAAATTCAATGGCAGAATACTATATGTTTTATTTTTGATTAGTATAATGAAGTTTTCAATAGGGTATTTTTAGCAAGTGTTTGAGACTTCATCAGTTTCTCAAGGGCCTCTCCTAATACATTAATATTCAACATTTTCTCTCAAAATAACTGTCATGTCATTTTTCTATATCAAATTTCTTTTGTTCAACTGTTAACAGATCTAACTCTATCATAGCCCTATCTACCATTGCCTTCGGGTGTGAATCTCACCATACTCAAACATGACTTTCCATAGACTACATGAAAATTCTTCAACTTTTACAGGATTTTCAGTTTTACTTTGCAATTAATTTATATCGCACATTAAGATGTTTACCACATATAGCATCACACCCAAGAAACTGAGAAGACAACGTGAGGGGCTAGAGTAGATGCTGTTATTAAGTGGGAAGGAATATTTGTGTTGGGGACTAATTGTCAAAGAATGGGAAAGAAAAAAATCCCATACCGTGCAAATACTAATATTTTCTAGTATTGCTTTCCTGTTCACTTTGTAAGTATACAGCCTTCAGTAGTGAAAGTCTCTGCATCAGTATTCATGAATGAGCTTGATACGTAAGCGGAGGTGTACTTTTCCTGAAGTCCGTAATTAGAGGTTAGGTGGTCCAGAAAGTGGATGAGAGAAAAAATTTTCACTAACCTGTAATGTAAATGTAGCATTTTCTCCCATTGTTCACTAAACCACAGAAGCATGAGCAGTGTTTAGGATGTTCTCACGATAGAAGTCTTGGATATTTTCATTATGTTAGTTTTTATAGATACTTTAAAATGTAACTAGTACTTCACTACTACTAAAGTAACTACTGCCCATCACTTCTTCACACTTACAATGATAAGGTATGCCACTAAGTATTTAATTTATTTTAATATAAATTTAAATTTGTATTGATCTTGGGGTGCCTAGGTGGCTCACTCGGTTAAGCGTCCGACTCTTGATTTTGGCTCAGATCATGACCTGATCTCATGATCTCATGGTCGTGAGATGGAGCCCTCTGATGGGCTCTAGGCTGAGTGTGGAGCCTGCTTAAGATTCTCTCTCTCTCCTCTCTCTCTCTCTCTCTCTCTCTCTCTCTCTTTCTCTCTCTCCCTCCATCCCTCCCCCTGCCCCTCCCCCACTCACACACTCCCAAAATAAAAAAAAATATATATATATTATTCTATCTCACTTCAAATATATTTTGATACTTGATTTCCTTTGTAATTATGTGTGTGTGTGTGTGTGTGTACTTTTTTTTTAAGATTATAAAGCTTGACTCTGAGAAGGGATCCATAGGCTTGCTTCACTGGACTAAGGAGTCTGCGACATAAAAAATGATTACTAACCCCTGATTTTTTTTTTCCTGTTATATCTTTAGATGTATCTGTTTTATCTTTTGGTCCTAGGATTGTATCACATAGTTCCCTATAAAAATACAGGGTGCTTTCTTTTCTCCTCTATCCTGGAACACGTTTCAACACTAGCATCATCTTGTTTTTAAAGGGTAAAAATAATTCACGCACGAAACTATCTGGGCCTGGATGATTTCGAGAGGCAGTCCTTAGAAAATCTTATTTTGTTTTTTTAAATTCATCTATTTGGTTTATGTAGCTCAATTAATTTTAGTCATTTATGTTTTCATGGAAATCTTCTATTTCTTCCGGGTTTTAAAATTTATTAGATTATTCTTGTATCTTTCTTACATTTTCTTTGCATTGAAGTGATTAATTGAAAAGCATTATTTTATTTTAGTTCATTTATTTCTTTTTGAGAGAGAGCGAGTGCAAGTGGGGGAGGGGCAGAGGGAGAAGGAGAAAGATAATCTCAAACAAGCTCCACACCCAGCCCAGAGCCCACTGGGGGGTGGGGGGGGGGCTTGATCTCACAACCATGAGATCATGACCTGAGCTGAAATCAAGAGTTGGACGTTTAACCAACTGAGCCGCCCAGGAGCCCCAGAAAGCATTATTGAGGAAGTCTCTCTATACCTTGGGAAAGTTAATTTACTATCTTTAAACGGTGAGCAGTTTTGATTCTTGAGGAGCCACCATTTTTAAAATGTGAGGTTGGAAGAGGAACTTGGCACCAAGCCCAAGTGAATTTCTACCCATTCCAAGTTAACAGAGATGGTGTTGAGACTGATGCTTTTGGGCAGCACTCTCACTGGGCTATGGCCATTCCCTCCTTCTGTTGGTGAGGATGCCAGAATGAAAGGCAAATAATGAGAAATCTGTTTTACCTGCTCATAGTTATAGCCAATCTATGGACCTGAGGTCCCATCCAGCTGGACAGGAGCTAGAAGGCCAGGCTAATGTCCCATACTGGAACATTAGAACCCTGGGAAACTCATGGTGTGTGCTAGGGAGACTGGTCCCAGGTAGCTAGTTCTAATCAGGCAGTGGGTATCTCAGAGTTCACTTAGGTCCAACCTTACAAATTCGGAGTCCTAAGGTCACTAGGAAGAGGAAGCATGGGGATGTTCTGGGGTGTTGTGCATCGTGAAGAAAGACGAAACAATTTTGGAGAGTGTTTGGAGCTATTACGCTTTCCCATATGTTAGGTACAGCTAGATTTGTTGCACATTATTCTTTTCTCCTTTCTTTTAATGTACAGCAACTCTCCAGAGAGACCGAATCTTCAAACATTTTACCAGGAAGCGCCAAAGGGCTATGCGAAGGCGTGTCCACCAAATCAATGGACACAAGTTTATGGCCACATACCTGAGGCAGCCCACCTACTGCTCTCACTGCAGGGAGTTCATCTGGTAAGTGGTTCCCTGGCTTCTCTCTTCCTAGAAGCTTCTTTCTATAATCCAGGCCTCCTCTGCTTGTATGTGGTTTTAGAAGGAAACATGATTATTAAGAATTGTTTTAGGATCTGGTTTTTGTCTTTCATTCTAATATGTTGACCCGGCGATTTAAATTGCCAATGAAAAACATCTGAACCATTTGCAGATCCAAGTTTTAGGTGTTATTTCTTTTTCCAGTCCTTTGGGGAAAGGTGCTAATGAACAGGAACTGGTTAAAAAGCAGTAATTAGGGAAGCTAATCAATCAGTACATAGATAATCAATAAATTGGATAATCAGCCCCTGAGTAAGAGAGAAAATAAAAAAGTATGAGTCACATGATGAGTTATAGAAATTAACTGTTGCAGATCAAGTAAGCACACAGTAATCTTCAGCCTTATGGTATGTGGCCAAAGGTAATAACTTTCAGTGATTGTATGCTATAATCCTTGGCATTTAGGAATTGAGATAATTAACAGTTGAGAACTTCTAGATGAATTGGGGCGGCATCTTATTATACATGTGACTGAAGCTTAAGCCTCAGTGGCAAATCTATAATGTAAAATAAATTTAAGTTAATAGTTATGTTCAATTAGAGCTAACTTTAAGCACATTTAGAAAGAGGAAGGAAATGCCCCCTCACACACATCCGAACATATACATACAAACCCATCTCTGAGGTAGAAAAGACTGTTTAATCTCTATAGCATGAAAAGGGATCCTTGGTTTTTGTTGCAAACTTTTGTCACTTTAAGTCAAAAGCTCTTGGTTCAGAGTAAGTTTTTTGAGTATTGATTAATGAGTTTGTATTTTGTGGGGTTTTGTTTTGTTTTGTGATTGCTTTGGTTTTTATACCTTTTAGCAGTCAGAATCCAGGGTTAGTGTTCCTGGAATTTTAAATTACGAATAGAGTCTTATCTAAACCAGAGACCCTAAGCTGGCTGTTGACACGATGCCTACAAATGTGCCATCACAACGCTCGTCTTCAGAAGCAGGCTTCTGCTGCACTTCCTATTGAACAAATCAGAAGCTCTGGCATCTTTGAACCCGTTTTCTGCCCTTGCAGTAGGTCTGAACACCCGAGGTAGCTGCCATCCCCCTCTCCTTGCGGTTTACCTGACCTACAAGGTCTGTCACTATTTCATGTCACACCGTTCTGCCTCCTTCCTTTATGTGACCTGCCTGCCCCTTTGAGCATTTGTGGTGACAACCTGTGACCTCAACTAACGTTCTTAATGGAAACTTATTTGGTAATTTCACTAAATGTTTTCCACCAAGGAAACATTAACTCCCACTCAACCAGCCTTCAATTGCTCGCTCTCTCTCTCTCTCTCTCTCTCTCTCTCTCTCTCCCCACCTTGCTCTCTCTCACATGCACACAATATTGATATATGTGCCACATATTATGGTTAAGAGTATGGACTCTGGCATTCAATCTCATCACCAACTAGATGTGTCAACCTAGTTAAGTTATATAATCTATCAGTGTCTCCTTATTTGTAACGTAAAGATAAGGGTTTTTTTGCTTGTATAATAAACTTCTATATAGCACTTAAAGTACCAGACACTATTCTAAGCATTTTACATGATCAACTCTCTTTATCTTCATGATAACCCTATGAAGTAGGTACTGTGATCATTATCGCCCTTTATAGATGAGGAAACTGTGGCCCAAAGGAGTTAACAACATGCCCCAAATCATGCCTAGGCCATCTGGTGTCAGGGTCTGTGCTCTGAGCCTTCCTGTTATGTGTGCTGCCTCACATGACTCTTGTGAGGATTAAATGAGATGCTATATGTCAGCAGCTTGGCTCAGTGCCTGGCACAACCTCTGAGCTTAATAAAATAATAAAATGGGTTCTCTGTTAAATGACAATGATGATATCACCATCCAGAGAAGATATTTAGGGAGAGACCAAGAGGGTAGCTGTGGGCCTGACGGGTCTCTTGTGGCGGCACTTCTGTCCCCGCCCCCCCCCATTGGACTCCAGGGGGGTGATGTGGGCACAGGGAAGAGGAAGGGTGCCTCAGGCCAGGCAGCCGCAGTGGACTCCTCTGTGTGCTTCACTACCTGCGCATCTTTATGCGGATGGGGTGAGAATGCCAAAGAAGGTGGTGGAGTGACGCTTCAAGCTGAGACTCAGTCACACAAGCAGACGAGGACCTGGGTTTGCCGTAGGGGGAGGTGGTACAGGGAGGATCGCCGATACCCACCTGTGTGTGTCACTGGAGCATTCAAATCAGGTGACTTCCTCTGTGTCTCGTGGTAACAGACAAGCGCTCAGAAATCACCTCACCTTTGCCTCTTCTCTGAAATTGTATTTTTCATACAGGAGCAGAGGATGACATGTGTTTGTTTTCCTTAAGTACTATGCTTAGAGGAGCATCGTTGCTGAAATATTTTGACTGATGATAACTTTTTTTCTCTATTGTCTTGAACAGGGGAGTATTTGGGAAACAGGGTTATCAATGTCAAGGTAAGAAAACACTTTTGAAACTCATATTTAATCTTGTTCCTGTGTTAAAAACTGATTATACTAAGAGGAAACAGGATACATTTCATTAATACTGTGATAAATAACTCAGCGGGTCAGGTGAGACCCCTACAGAATTACTGCTTTTTAGTTGTGGTTTAAACTTTGGCTACATTTTAGACGGCATAGAGGGGGCATTTTTATTTCTAAAGCCCAGATACCTAATAGAGTTTAATTGTTTAGAATTTTGTCTCTGCAATAAAATGAAAGCACTACAGGTAATGCCATTTTGTGAGCAGTGCCCTTGAATCCTGAAGCTAAATTGTTGTCTTTTACAACCCCAGTGTTAATAGAGGTGAGAAGTGGCACAGCGTTGCTTGTTTACCTGCAGAGGGAATAGAAACTATTATCCCAGCTCCTTTTTCATTTTCTAACTCCAAAAAGAAGAAAGAAAAAAGAAACTATGAGAATTGTTGACAGTTAGAGAGAAACAAGTGAAAGAAGGCTCTTACTTAGATTTGGCCAGACTGGATTGATTTGTCTTCCATTGGGCCCTTTCTTGTTGTTGGCTTGAACATCATTACACAGTATATATGTATGGTACCTCTTTTCTTGATTTGTACTCTACAGATGATTGGTAAAATAGCGCTACATATCCTGGAGTGGTAGCCTCCATGGTAATAAGGAAAGTCTGCCTTCTCTTCTGGAGAAGGTGAGGTAGAACATTATTTCCCTTAGAATGGAGTAGGACACACTCTTGGATGTAGTTTTCATTTTCACATGTAAGCAGTTCTGCATTTTCAAATTTGGAAAACAATATTGTTATGGCAACAATAATTGACTTTATGCTGTTAATCTCAGACTCAGGTGACAGCATAGTTCACAGCTGAGAATTGATGTCACCTTTTGGCACCTCTCCAGCACAGGGACATGCCCTTTAGTCACCTCTGGTCATTCTTCTGCATAGTGCCAGGATATTTGATGGGCTGACTTTTAGTGGGCCACCTGTTGTTGAAAGAGCAGGAAAGACCATTGGTCAGGAGAAATGTTCACATCTTGTTAAGGGGCATAAAACCAAATACCTGGTTGAGAAGGGTACACCATGCTAACATTAGTCAAATGAAATAGACAAAACAGATTTCGGAACAAAGAAAAATTTCAGGGATAAGGAGAGGAATTATTTAATGATAAAGGGATCCATTTTTCTTTTTCTTTAATATGAAATTTATTGTCAAATTGGTTTCCATACAACACCCAGTGCTCATCCCAACAGGTGCCCTCCTCAATGCCCATCACCCACTTTCTCCTCCCTCCCACCCCCTATCAACCCTCAGTTTATCCTCAGTTTTCAAGAGTCTCTTATGGTTTACCTCCCTCCCTCTCTAACTTTTTTTTCCCCTTCTCTTCCCCCATGGTCTTCTGTTAAGTTTCTCAGGATCCACATAAGAGTGAAAACATATGGTATCTGTCTTTGTCTGTATGACTGATTTCACTTAGCATCACACTCTCCAATTCCATCCACGTTGCTACAAAAGGCTATATTTCATTCTTTCTCATTGCCAAGTAGTATTCCATTGTATATATAAACCACAACTTCTTTATCCATTCATCAGTTGATGGACATTTAGCCTCTTTCCATAATTTAGCTATTGTTGAAAGTGCTGCTATAAACATTGGGATACAAGTGCCCCTATGCATCAGCACTCCTGTATCCCTTGGGTAAATTCCTAGCAGTGCTATTGCTGGGTCATAGGGTAGATCTATTTTTAATATTTTGAGGAACCTCCACACTGTTTTCCAGAGTGGCTACACCAGTTTGCATTCCCACCAACAGTGCGAGAAGGTTCCTGTTTCAAGAGGGATCCATTTTTCAAGAAGACATAATAATCTTTAACATATAGGCACCTGACAACAGAGTATCAAAATACATGAGGCAAAAACTCATAGAACTGCAAGGATATATAGACGAATCCACTATTACAGTGGGGTGACTTCAATATCTCAGTAACTGAGGTCCAGCAGACAGAAATTCTGTAAGGATATTACAATTTGATCAAATTGACATTTATAGACTACCCCACCTAACAACAGCAGAATATACATTCTTAAGCTCACAAGGAATATTAATATAGACCACATTCTGGCCTATGATGTAAGTCTTAACAAATTTAAGAGAATAGAAATCATAAAAAGTATTTTTTCAGAGCACAGTGGAATTAATGCACACATGAATCAGAAACGTAGCTGGAAAGCCCCCCCCCCCCCCCACATATTTGGAGATTAAACAACACATTCAAAATAACACATGGGTAAAAGAAGACTCAAGAAAAATAAAAACTATTGTGAAATAAATGAAAATACAGTTTATGAAAATTTGTGGGTTACAGTAAAAACAGTACTCAGAGGAAAATTTATACCATTAAATGCATTTATTAGGAAAGAAGGATCTAAAACCAGTAATTTAGGTTTTCATCTTAGGAAGCTAGAAAAAGGAGAGAAGCTTAAAGTGAGCAGAAGAAAAGAAATAATACAATTAAAGCAGAAATCAGTAAAATTGAAATTAGGAAACCAATAGAGAAAATCCACCAAATAAAAAGCTGGTTCTTTGAAAAGGTCAATAAAATTGATAAACCTCTAGCCAAGCTAATGGATAAAAAACAAGCAAACCTCAGATTCCTCAGAATGTAGGTTTTGTCTTGGTGAGGGATGGTTTTGAGATCCCCGCATATAAAAGGATCAGTTCTCTGGGAACTTTCAGTTTGGTTCTCCTGCAAATTCAGTCTGATGAAAGCTAGATTTTTTTTTAAAGTATATCGCTATTTGCTGACATGTCATCTGTATTTATGTATTTAATCCTAAAAACCTCCACATGCCCTGAAAGATCTTAAAAATAACACGTATTTTCATACTGCTTCATTGCGGATTGTTCATCTTTTAATGGCAAACTGAATTCTGTCTGCACTGTGTCAGTATCCAGATGAAAATGGAAAAAAAAGTTATTCAGAAGTTCTAAGTGTTTAAATAGTTGACTGAGTCATCCTGCAAATATTTGATGAGTGCCTACTTTGTTTGAGGCATCATGCTGCCCAGGAATTCTAAGGGTTATAGAAGCTATATGTGGAAGATTTGAAATGACAGGCAAGCTAAGGGTTGTAGAGATTTGAGGAGACAGAGATGGTTTAGTCTCTCTAGAAGGGGAGCCAGGGATAGTATATTTTAACGGAAGAGACATTTTTTAAGTCGTTGTCTTGATACAAACTTAAGATTTAGTTAGGCGGTAGGCAAAGAGGATATCCTAGGGATTAAGCAGGACACGGTCAGTGTGCAGGGAGGGTGAAGCCTGCTCCAGGAAGAGCAGCTAGTCTAGTTTCTATTAGAACAAAGAGCTCCCATAGAAGAAAGGTAACAAATAAGCTTGGCTAGCTTCTGGAGGGCCTGACACTTGGCCGGGAAATTTGAACTCTACTCATGGGCAGTGAGAAGCCATTGAAGGTTTAGATCATGGGGCAAGGTGACCAGAATTATACTGTGAGAGGATTCCTGTGGGGGTGAGTGTGGGATCAAAGCCAGAAAGGACGAAATAAGCTCAGGACTTGAGTGCAAATAGTTTGAGTGTGAGCAAAGGCATGAGTTAGGTTGATAGTAAAGACGATGGGAAGGACGGGTGTGCTGGCTGCCATCATGTGGGCCACATACCCACACCAAGTCAGCTTGCAGCCCTTGTTGACTAGACTGTAACTGGTAGACCTTCAGCCTCCGATGAATGTGTAATTGTGGGCTTAATTTCCTAGTGTGCACCTGTGTCGTCCATAAGCGCTGCCATCACCTAATTGTTACGGCCTGCACTTGCCAAAATAATATTAACAAAGTGGATTCAAAGGTAAGAAGATAGCAGTTTGCTAATTAAGTGCCTGCACAAGCTCACGTGCATGCTTCTCGCTCTCTTTTTTTTTTTCTCTCTCCCTCCTCTTTCCACTTCCCTTCCACGCTCTTTGAAGCTGATGGTGGTATCAGAATTGAATTCTCTCTTTTTTATATTATGGTATTTTTAATTCTATGCTTGTGTAGTTTGACCTGTCCTTGAGTTGATCCCACTTAGTGATCAGCTGGTTACAAGCTCTCAGGATCAATTTTGCTAATTCGGAGAGAGTTTTTGGAGGACTGACCGAAAAGATCCCTGAGTTTGGCATCACATGACCAGGAGTTGATGTGGAATCCAGCCTCTGCTAGTTAGCTTCTCTCTTAGCTCAGTCTTAAAAATGGGATTCATATTTCCTTCACACAGTTTTTGTGAGTGTTAAGCAGGATAGAATTGATGTGATGAGTATTTGTTAACTGTAAATTGTGCTTTCTCAAGGCGACCATTAGCCTCCTCCATTGTCTTCCCAAATGTCAGGGAGGATGCATTTCTATATATAAATGCCTGATCCTCATTCTTGTAACTTGTATTGTGTTCAGCTAGGGTAGGCACATTCCAGATTCTGGAGCTAGAAAGCAGATGGAATATTGCTGACAATCAGCGGATTTACAGATGCACTGGAGAGTCTGACTTTGAAACTCAGTGATGCCCTACAGCACACATATAGCACATATATCACCCACTAGCACATATAGCACACACATAGCACACATACAGCATGTGCCTGGTCTGATTATTTGCTGGAATCAGTTTGTGAGATTAAAGCAGGACCTCTGCCCTCAGATTGTCACAACACAAATGCCAGGCAAAGGCTGGAAGGGCTGAGGAAGCCACTTGAATGTCCCCTGGAATGAATCCC